TCTATCGTCATTGTCAAAAAAGAAAGAACAATCGTCGTACGGATCGTGCATGCGTGATCATAGCAAAATAAGAAGCAGTTGATTGATTTTTAATTCTTAAAAGTATAAGAATATAAGAATATGGGATTAGATAAGCACAATGGCATATATATAGGAATGCAAGATCGCAAGAGTATAAGTTTATTGAAGATTGTAAGGGTACAAATGTGAAGATGTTTAAAGGAATAGTCATATAAAAGTGTCAGAGCATAAGAATATAATACTATAAAGGTATAAGAATATAAAAGAGGAAGCGTATAAAAGAGTATAAAAATTATAAGAATACAAGAATATGAAAATATACAAGTATAAAAGTAGAAGAATATAAAAGTAGAAGAATAGTAAATGTCAAGATGTAAAGTATGAATATAGCATATAATATAGAGTATAAGAGTATAAGAGATAATAGTATTGTATGAGCACATGGGTACAATAAAATGAAAGCATAAGCGCGCATAAGTGTAACGGTATAAAACTATAAGAGTATAAGGATATATTAAATCTCTATACAAGTATACGAGTCCAAGGATACAAGACTAAACGGGTATAAAAGTATAGGAGTATGTTATAATAAAAAAATACAAGTCTATAAGAGTGTAAGTAAGCATATAAGGAAATATAAGGAAATAGTATAATAGTATAAGAGTGATAAAAAGAGAATAAAGTTATAAGAGTGTATAAAAGTTTAGGAATATAAGAGCATAAGGCACATATATAAAAGGCCTTAAATGAAATGTACTTTCAAACGGTTTTCAAAGCATTCTTCACACAACAATATACAACAACATAATAAAAATATTATAATGTTTTATTTATTTAATATTAACGATCATAAATATTAAAGTTTATAGATAATCAAGCGCTGTCGAGCACTTGTTTAATATGCCGTACCTTCTACCGTAAATTCTCTGATAATAGTATAGTGGTGTGAAGTTCTTCTCCGCACAGAGGCATTTACACACCTTGCAATAATTGTCAGCAATGACAGTTAGAGTATGAGAACTTGTTTCATTCACATTTAATATCTGTATTTAGAACGTTGATAAGATCACCAAACACAGCACCAGTATTTGAATGAAATGAAAGCTGAAAAAGAGTAAAAATGAATTAAACAATTGACGTCTTGGGTAAATATCAACGTCTGTTTTAACATTTATTCAGTTTAAAATACTCCGACTATTTGACTGAGTCGCACTGCACAAAGCATAAAGAGCAGGCGGATAAAGTTCATAAGACACTTTACTAAATTATAAATATTCAAAAAAAAAATAAATAAATAAATAAATAAATAAATAAATAAAAATTCAAATAAAAACAAATTACTTGGTTTCGTTTGTATTTAGGCAAATATGGAAAAATAATATCTTTGTAAATAAACAATAAATTATCTTTTCTCATTTTTTTTTTTTTTTTTTAATTTTACCTCCAACAACAATCAAACAATATGCCTAACGTAACCTTCAGGTAAATTCAATAAAACGTGAATATTTCTGTGTGCAAGTAATAGAAAAAAAAAAATGTGAAAAAAAACGCATTCATTATTACAATACAGCAAATTAATTATTATGACTTATATGATTAATTAAAATAATTTTTTTTTCTTCTCTTAATGTTTTTAATAATAAATAAAAATATATAAAACATGTATTAACCAAAATAAATAAATAAATAACTGAACTTGTGATTACATTGAAAACGCATGTGTCTATTAAATTGTAATCGAATCGATTGAATCGATTGAAACGAGAAGTAACAAAACAAAACTTTGATTGCAAATGCAAGGACTTTTCCTTGAAGTGATAGTAATAAAATGATAAGTTTCAAAACAATCAAAATCATTGCAAATAAATTTCCTACAAATTGTAAAAAAAAAAATTGTCTAATTCTTATTTTTATTTTTATTTTCTAATTTTAACGAAAAAAAACAAATAAAAAAAATCATACTCGATCGTGCTCGATCGTATCGTGTATAGCTATCACCGTGATCCTAAAAAAGGATAAAAAAAAGTAAAGGAACTAAATTTTCATCCGCTATATTAATAGTCTATGGACGCGGCGGATTTTTTCCATTTTCAGAATAAAAGTAGAAATTTATATGATGTATCCGCCTGAGTAGCCGAAGGGGAGGAATCTCGACTAGCAAGTCAATGGTCGTGGGTTCGAATCTCAAGTGCGGTAGAGTTTTTAATAAAAGCCGATAGCCTTAGATGCTAGTGCTTTTAACAGTTTAGTCTTAGAATTTATTTCTGTGGCGAAATTAACAATAATAATAATAATAATATATGGTGTATGTGTTGTACTTTATGAGTAACGAGAAAAAACATGAAAAATAAAAATTTTCACAATTTTTGTCGCACAGACGTGTGGGCATTGTGGCCGTTCCTTTTGACCAGTTTGGGTCACTTTCAAGTTCTTTTACATTTTTGCGAGCGCGAGAATGAACCGAATCTTTTATACCCAACACCGTTTACCCCAAAACAAAGGAAGAAAAGAAACGAATTCTCAAACTCTATAATATGAAGCGGGCGCAGTTGTGATTTCTTTTGTCTTCAAAATTAAAGTATTTTCGTAGAGGCATATGGGCGTTGCAGGCATGTCCTTCCCAAATTCGTTTGCAAATTTATAGGCGATATCTTCAGTTTCGCTAACGGGAGAATATTTACCATGAATGCTTAAAAGTTAGGCAAACAGACACAGGCGGACATGTTCAGGTTCAGGCATTCAAGATTTGAAGCTGGCCAAGAATTTGTGTACTTTATGGGATTTTTGAAGCTTTTTTCTTCTTCTTACTCTTTTCGCATTACAAAGGTATTGAACAAAAAAAAAATAAATTTATGTTATACTATAGAATTGAGTAGGCATGGCTATGGAGACACTACCAAGGCGTTGTCCAATGAATATACATTTCAATTTTTATAGATTTATCTGCAGTGGTTCATGAGTAATGAGCACAAAATCGACTTTTGTATATATCTTTTGATAAACAGAGATGGTGTCAGTTTATATCGTCCCGTAGTCGTGTCCTTAGATCGATTTGGCCCAACTTCAATGCGAACCCGCATGAATTGATAATTTCATTTTTGCACCCAAGCGACTGTCTACAACAGATATTGCATAAACGTATAGATGATGCACATGCTTACATAGCTGCAGCATTTAATTCTGACCAAGGTTATATATATAAAACTTGTGAAAGCTTCCTGAAGCTTCCTTCTGGACGTTGCAAACGTTTTCCCACATCCCTCGATGATGAGTAGAAAACAAAAACAAATTCTCCGCAGGGAAGACTTCAAATTTAATTTCCAACCTTTTAACTCCTTACACAATTATATGACAAATTGAGCGTTTTTGTTGAAATCAATCACATCCGAAAAATACGAAATGTGCTTTCAATTTCTTCTCCGAAAAGAATAAGAAAATGCCCCTAACAAGTGTAAACAATGCGTAATCGATAAATTCAAGTTTTCAAAATTAATCACGCGTAACAATTACTATATTCTTTTGAGATCCGTTCACTTCGGCAATTTACTGGCACGGTAATGATTGCAATGTGTATGATATACTGACAATTTTAAATTTTTCAATAAAAATTTTTAATTGTTCATTATAGCAGTTGAGGCGCGTGCAACGACCGCAATTTGAGCAAATTTGAGATATACGTAAAGCAACTTGAAAAATAACTGTAAATATGAAAATGTAATGGATCTATGCAAAATACCTTTCAAATGTAATTGAATCCAATTGTGAATCCACATGTATACAATAACATGATGAACTGATTGTTAATAATAATATAGTTATTTGATTTTTGTTAATTGCAATTATTGTTAAATTAAAATATTATATTTATATATTTTCATTGAAATGTTTAAACTTTTAAGTGAGATGATTATCTCTAAAATGTGTATATAAAATGTATATATATATATATATATATATATATATATATATATCAACGTTAAACGACTCAATCGATTAAAATGCAAAACATTATCAATAACACTATAATGCCAAAGCATATTTATATTAATATCTTTATGGTTCATTTAAAATCAATTAACCAGATTGACAGTGTTTCGGTTATCTATCCGATAATCTTAAAAAGAAAAAAAAAGAAAAAAAATAAATAAACAAATAAAAGTAAAAATTAATTGTAAATAAAAATTCATAAAATAAAACGTGATTTAAAATAATGACATCACACACTAGTCGTTTAATAAAAATAAAGCAACGTCATCTGTTAAGGCAATGAAATAACAAAAATTAACGAGATCAACATAAGCACACACTAACATATATATATTTACTGGGGTAATTATTACCGGTAGACACGCATTTATATGTAGCCATAAATATATATATATATATATATATATATGCGTATATATAATGTGTGTGGATGTGTTGGCGTATGTATGCTTTTGTAAAATAAGACAAATTATTGTCGATCCGGTACAAGTCAATATGGAATCGCTTCGTTTTCTATATAAAATTGGGCGGATAAACATGGCAGACAAAGAGACAACTGAGCGGACAGACAAACATAAAGAAAGAACAAAGTGTACGAATAGATCCATATGTGGAAAAAAAAAAAACAAGCAAAGAAGAAGAAGAAAATCCGATAAATATCGGATAAGCATAGGACTAAGAAAACACAGAATCAATCAATATATAGATGATAAACGGACAGACGAATCGCCGACTAATGAACGTGTGATCTGATGTATAAATTGAGAGAGAAACTTAATGGACAGACTGATAATGATCAGGTGGTATACAAATCGAATGCAAATTAATTTAAAATTTCACGCTAATCAATCTAATTTTACTCGTGCGTATACAATGACAGCCTTCCCCCGTAACATATAAAGCTAATATAACTTCTCATGTGCTAATGAGTATAAAAAGTGATAATTTTCTGCAAATTGAAATGTTTATATAAATATTTAATAAAATATGAATACGAAAATATAAATACATATAAATAAATGTATGTAAAAAGTCATGCAATTTATTAATATTATAGCCAGAATTATGTCAATAACCATAAGGAATTTTACAGAACATTTAAAAATTAAACACATATCACTCGGTAGATTTAGAGTAGATCGAATTGTCAAGAAAATGATTTAAATGTGACGGCCATGTGCATTGAATCTCCCATTTCAATAAGCGACTTAATCCTATTAGTAATATTATCGAAGTTACAGGACCAAAAATTTAGGACATAAAACATTAATGCCATTAAAAAAACAAGTTGAATTTGTTTATAAAATGAACACAATTTACTTATACTTCAAAATTTCAAAATTTTATCGCCTTCACTGCGATCATAACACTCAGATAATATTCCTCACTAAATGTTCTAATGCAGGGTATCGCGATAGTCAATGAAGACTGTCGATTGTCAAAGGACTTTGATTTTTCAACGGCTCTGGCAAGGTGTTTTTCAATATTGATTGGACTTTTTCCAAATATTTCCTCGATTAATCGATTGTTTTCTAATCGTACGCACAGATCCGCAATAATGCATTTTATGACGTCTTGGTATTCAGAAATCATGGCTTTACAAACATAGGAAAAATCAAAAAAAAATGCCACACATTTATAAAAATACTTACAAGTCGTCCATCAACCGATGTGCATAGATATCAAAGATAGTACTCTAAAATCGAAGAAAAAAATGATATAATGGCTCCGAATTATTCCCAAAATTTAAGCGAAAATTGAATCTCAAATTTTTTTTTTTTACTGGAGCAACATTTTACGAATCATTATTAAGTAAATAAAAACACTACAGTGGACCGCAGCCCATCATTAAATATCCCACACGACCCCACAATTATTCATGTTAGGACATTTCAAAATAATACCTTATTGTGACACTTGGTTGAGAACATAGTTCAATCCGATCTATTTCCTTGCGCCAAAATATCTCAAAAATTGCGGTCTTTAGATTGAACAAAGGAATACAAGACTGTATATCAAACGGGCAGAGAACCTTCAATCGATCTAGAAATTGATTATGAAATGATCTGAAGCGATCCGTATAATAAACGATAGGTCCATTCTTCTGAACGCTTCTGAATGTTGCATACACCAGCACAAACGTAATACATCTTTATACCACAAAGTAGTCTCAACTTATAAAAGAAAAAAAAAAAGGCGGACAAAATTTTTATGCAACAATTCGGATCGGGAATGCAATTGCAAATCTTGCCTATCGACCCTTGACCGCGTACAGCAAAGAATTTAGATGCTTATGGGTGAGGAATGTCTGCCCAACTCTTTAGACACACTTGAGTAGCGGCTATGCTCCATGCTCCATAGGCTTAGATAGCTCCCTTCTAAATGTTCTACGGAGATTGAAGAGAATTATTCACTAACCAAGTTATATGACGGGACTGCTTGGCTTTCTTGGCGTTCTTGCACACTTTTGATAAAGTGTGCCATAAACCTTATAACGTACTATCGCGACTTCTCACTCTCTAGTCGTACTGCTCAACTTTAAAGTCATCTACTGGCGTTTATTAGAGTTTTTTCATCTCATTAGTAAACTTTCCCGCCATTCCAAATGTTTCCACTTTCGCTGTCAAATGTACACAAATGTACCCATTCGGCCTTTCCTCCTTCCATAATCTACCTGCTTCCGCACCGTCACGTTACCTATACATGCAGTGAACATTAACTAAATATAAAAGAAAGAGCAAACTGAACAACATACTGCTTGTACTACAAAAATGAAGCAGTAAATTTCAGTGAAGATACACAGTTCGATCTGTGGGCTTTCACTCTTATTGCGAAATATCCGCAAATAAAGCTAAAATTGTTTAAATGCTTTTTAGAACAAAGTTTAAGTTTATGAGCAACAAATTATGAGCGAAAAAATGAGCGAAAATAAATAGTTGATCAGTGACTTGACTTTTGTGAACAAAGAGAGAAACGGTTCGAATTGGGTAACGATGAGGGACACCTTTTTGAGAAACACTATGCTACAATCTAAAGCAATATTTAGCAAAATCGCACCTTTCGCTTATGTAAAACAAACATTTCAGTTATATATGACAGACAATAGACTCCTTTTCATTTCAATTATGTAACAATTTCTAATAAGCCGCCCTTTAATGAATATATATATATATATATATATTTGCGCACTCGTCTGGTACCCATATTCATTTAAGTCTTAATTTCTTAACATGTTTGTGTTATATGTATCACCTTTAAGTACCAAACTAAAGCAACCGTTTACTAATCACTGCTTTGACTACTAATAACTACTTGTACGGATGCGTGTGGATATGGATATAGATGTAAATATTACCCTTATCTACTAAATGTAAATATTACCCTTATCTAATCAGTTTAAAATGCATCAATTTTATACTTGCAAAGAAAGCGAACGCACACACATACACACATTCCAATAAACCATCCACATTTTATTACACATTACGTATACGTCAGGCTTTCACACAAAATGGAAAAAAAAGCATTAAAAGTAGTTCAATGGATTAGTCGAACATAATGATACAATGATGTTTGCGGAAACGACAATAACTGTCTATTATAGGGTAGCGAAACTCACGAACAACAATCGTCAGTTCATCAGTAGGCCAATTAGTACTTTGTCTAGATTAGGCGCTTAAATGTTCGTTCGAAATATTTGTTATAAGTTTTGGTTCCGTATCTCGGCTAAATCATAATTTAATATTTCGTACCTAACACTGGACTTCCCTTTATAAATATGAACTAAAGTTGCGAATGGTCTTCACATTTTAGATTAAAAGACTTGAAATAATTTTAATTAAAATAATATTAAGTACAAATTACATCGATGTTCATTCCTCAGTTCATTCATTCACACCATAAGTTTTCTCGAGAAGATCCTTACTTACCGTTGCTATGACATCTTCACTTATGAAAATTACTTTCCATGGCCTTGCATACGATTTAATAACTTCACGATACCTCCTAATTTTTCTTACACATAAAATGTTTTTAACAAGAGAACTTCATCGAAGTTTCATTTACATCGTGTTTTTACCGCACTATGGACGACCTTGCAGCCACTTTTCAGTTAGTTTATTATATGCTCGATTCATCATCAGTAGACTGCACCTCTACCGTTCCTTCTTACGTAATCTGATACTCTTCCACCTTACACGCTTACACTTGTACTCTTCATTATCATACTATTTGATTATAAAATTTTAATATTTACATTCTCTCCTACGTATGCATTTCTACAGTATATTATGCACTATTATACCAGAGATAACTAAATATTAAGATGTTCGAACAATTCGTTCAAAGTTGAGATTAGTTGAATCTTAGGCACTTTTTGTGTATCTGTTTTCAATAGCAGTGATAACGCGATTAATTAGCAGCCATTTCGCAAGTTACTCTTTCATTTTCATAACTTGCAATAATTCTGTGAATAATTCTTTGATATGGCATCGCGGTCTCTCAATTGTTCAAATGTTATTGCAAAGCAGACGCATATATAATTTCGGGTTTTTTAAGTGAATGTGTGCAATGGTCTACACATACGTACGTATGTATGAGAAAAGGTCAAACAACAGGTACATATGTTGCGAATATAATTTGTTTTCTTTTTGTCATTTATTTTGAAGAATTGAAGAATTGAAGAATTATAAATCCAGTGTTCGCCAATTGTTTCGTTCAATAAATTTCAATGAAAATTTTCGTACTAAGAGACATGTATTAAAAAGAGTTATGTATGTATTATTAATTTTATTTACTTACACATAATTATTTAACATATTATATTCAATTTTCCATAACACATAAGAGTTATTCTACGCGACGTCTATTTTTATTATATAATTATTTGCAGAATTAAACAATTAAATAAATGAGTAAAATATTAAAAACTAGTCTTTATGCGATTTGAATTTGTTTTTCATTTCCTCAATTAGTATACACTAAATCGGCATGTTGTCGGGCCAAGAATTTCGAATTTTTATTCAATCAGGCTTTTAACGCAAAGCTCACTAAGTTGCGTGTTACCTGCCATCGCGGCTCGTGTTAAATCAATCTTGTCGAAAATTATTCTCCCATCATCCGATTTATGTTAAATTTTGATAATATTCCGTTGTATACACTTCATATTGGTACCGGTATATATATATATATATCAAAAATTCAATCGTTAGTGTTTTGTTGTATGGAAATTTCGCATAAATCTCACTTCAGATTTCAAATATCCGCATTTATGGTATCCCCGGAAAAGTACTACTACGTCCGCTCTTCCGCCTTCTCCGTTATAGACATTTTCACATATTCTAAGACGCATGTACGCTAATTTTTAATTTTTTTCTTTTTTTTAATGGAAATGAATGGTTTTTGTTTCATAAAAATGTAATAAAGACTTCATTATCGCTTTTGTTGCATGGTTTAGGGAAAATATTTGCAGTTTTTTCATCTCATACGATTTTTTCAATTTAACATATGTCGCATGTATTTTTGGAACATATCTATCGTGTGCGAAAAGTGTTGAGGGTGCATACAAGGTTTTTTTTTTTTTTTTTTTTTTTTTTTTTTTTTTTTTTTTTTTTTTTCTTGAAGTATATTACATTACATACATGCACTGAATAAAGTACAAAAAAACAGGACGAAGGCACATAAACCTTAAAATAGCTGCCTTGGTATACTTTGTGAGAATCGAATTAGATCGCTCTCCAAATTAAGAGCTCGTATTAGTAGATTAAGATATGAGTGTGTATATACATACACACATACACTCACATATATGTGTGATTTTTGTTATTCTTGACAGACCATTTTAAGCTTGAATGCATCTTTTATCGTTGGCAATAAATGCCAGAGGTTCTGAAATGTTTTAGTGATATCCATCAGTCTGGTGCACCTGCCGTTTCATCGATTTATTTGTCTCACCCGTGAAGATTCTAATAAGTTAAGTTTGTAAAATATACGCTCGTATTCATATCACAGGCTAAATGTAAAAGGGAACGTGAACCATTTGCCATCAACACCCTCTCAATAACAATAATAATAAAATGAAGCGATCATATAAAGAAATTAAAATTGTGAGAATAATTCAATATATTTTTTTTTTGAAAAAAAACGTGACAACATAAAATCGAAAAGAAAATTCGTATCAAATATTTATTAAATCCATTTGAAAATTACGCGGTCCTCTCATCTCCGATTCTGAAAAGATTTGCGAGATCTTATATGCAATTTCGAACTAATCGATTTAATTATGTTTATTGCACTTTTCTCAATCTTGATCTCAGTACGCAGATATCAAACGATGAAGACGATTATGTTACGACCGTTAAGCGACCAAAGTCGGCTTCGGTTTCTCGTTTCCCACCCTCCCCCGCCTCGCTATCACCGCCGGCTTCACCGGCACCAGTACGTATACGTTATGCCAAAACTAATTATGATTCTTGCGATCATACGCGCAACTCACAAACAAATTTGGAAACAATTGAAGCAATCAACATGAGTCAAGCTCTGGTACCTAGCACATCGGTACACTTGCTTCGTAATGATTCCTTAATGCCTCAAGCAACAATACAAGTAACACACCGACCATCAGTATTATTACAGGAAATTTTAAGCAATAAAAATATTTTAAAATATCCGCGCAATAGTCGAGGCGGTAATAGGTAAACAATTGTTTATAATAAATACATCAAAATAATAATAAATTCATTGTATTCTTCTTCCATATGCTACACCAGTACTTTGAATGGCACAGCAGCTGGTAGTACAATAACTATAAATGGACAGAGCGATGGCGGAGCGAAAGGTTTCCACGCAAAACAATCAAAAGAGAAAAATCGACGTCAGGGCAAGTAAGTAAAGAATCAAAGCTAACTTTTTCCATTTAATCAATGTCATCCGATGGATCTTATCATATCAATTATATATGATATATTTATATATCAGTTTCGAGTTTTCCTACACGGAATTTATTGTTTCACTATTGAAAAAGGTTTTAGCTTTTAATCTAATATTTGATAAAATAATATCCTATGTACGCTGAGAGATTCATGGCAGTATAAACGATATAACTCCATAAATTTTGTTATAAAACTAATTACAGCGAAATATAATAATGAACTTTTACTATATGTGGTTACGAAAGATTTAATGACAACAACAAAGATTAACGAAGACGCAATTACATTACAAATCTCTTCATTGTTTTAACAAATAGACAAATGTGACTATCAACTTGAATGTAGAATTATATCACAAAATACTAATCTTCAATAATTCATTATAATTTATTAAATATGCATTATTTTTTTTTTTTTCTTTTTAATGAATTTTGTTTTTTTATTCTGCAGTGATGCCGTCAGTACCGCTTTATCTGCTACTTATTGCAAACTTTTGGTACTATTAGGTGTTTGTTTGCCAATCACTGAAATTATATCCGATCAGATACCCATTTATGTATATCAAGGCTTCTATGTTTATTTATATTCGTTAAGCATAGCTTTCGTTATGTTTCTATATATCTCCGCTTTTCGCAATCGCACTCTGTTTAATGCCCTTAAACATTATCGTAAGTATCAGATAATGGCCAAAAAGTATTGAGCGTATTATAGTTTATATACAAAACGTTAAATTAGATAAATTAATCAGCGAATTAAGCTGAATTTCATATGACCGGTTAACCTTTTAAGATAAATGATATGCAGAATTTCTTTCCCTGGAGCGTAACTTAGTCTTCTTAAGGCATTGGAAAATTATTCACGTTCTCATTAGGAAAAGAGAAAAAATGGCAACGAGAAAATAGGTCCCTTGGGTTCCGCTATGATAATGATGGTCGATATGCAACACAGGCCTCACCCAGACCGTCCCTATCATTAAAAACTCGTCAAAACATTGAAAGAATTTCAATGCTTGAGAAATTCATTAATATTAGATTTCTTTCCGGGTCCATAAAATTCCGTATATTCCGATGTTGTGAGCCTTGAAAGAGATCTGAAAAATCAATTTATTACTCATCTACTTTGCAGGACTGGGTCAATAGAATGCTCATTCAGGACAGTAACAGGAGTACAGTGTTAACATGGAGATAAACAAAAAAGTTATTAGTTTATTATCCCATGAAATTACTTTGATTTCTAAATGCTCAATACTATTTAGGCAATCTATGCTATAATTTGTGCGTTTGCAAGGCCGACTGTTAATGTCGCATAAACTCCTCAATTTTCAGACGAAACAAGTAGCGGTGTTCTCTTAAAGCACAAAGTCACGCATTTCGGTAGCTTTTATTTAAGAGTTGGTGCGATTGCATTTGCCATCGGTACTATGGTCTACTCGGGTCTGGAATTCGGCCAATTCTTTGAGCTGAATGGACAATCTGGTTGTCACGATTTGTTTGTGGCTGTTACACCTATATGTCGTATGCTCTTATGCATCGTACAGATTCAATTCATTTTTCTGAATACTACCTACATGGATATGGCGCGTCACAAGGTTTTCTCGCGTTTCGGCCTAATGCATATGGTAGCCACAAATCTCTGTGAATGGTTATATGTGTTGGTAGAAGAAACCAAACACGAAATCTTTCATATTGCCCATCATGATGCCCATGCGGATAAGTATGGTCACAATGCTCCTTCGGTCCCCGTAGGTGCTAATCTAACACTCGATTCTGCTTCCACGTTGCATACAAAAAGTGAAATTCATAGCTCGAACTTGACGGCAGCGGCAGCGGCAGTAGAGCATATTTTACAAAGTTTTAACACAGGGCATAACGATTTGCTTACGGAAAGTAATCATGGTTGTTCGCGTACTACTATTATGGGGGCTTTAGTACAAGTTCGTATATCTTTTACTTATACACTTAAGTTTGTTTTCCTTTTTTTATTAAACTAATATATTTTTACTTTTCTCGTAGAAGCTGTCGCCATTTCTGTTTCCCTGTACTATCGAATATTCATTGATTTGTGCCGTTATTTTGTATGAAATGTGGAAAACAGTTAAATCCATACCTGATATAGATCGTTCGCGAAAAAATTCTATTAAGCCAGTACATCAGAAGCCAGCCCATCATTTTTCGGTCGACTGTTCCCAGTCGCACAAAGGTCTATTCTTTGGTATATTAATCATAGTAATGACTATTATTGCAATGATTATGTATTTTGTCTTATATACACAACCCGGTTACGAGTTGGTAGCCGCACAAGAAGTAACTTTATGGGAAACAATCATGTATCTATTGTGTGCTGGTGCCGTCATAACAGGTAAATATTGTAATAAAATATTATTATATAAATTCTGAGAATTCAATTTACTCTTCCACGCCTTCGATCAGGCATGTTCATAATGCGCGATCTGAGATATGTTAAGGGCACATCAGATGAGCATCAATCTATGGAATTAGATAATTTATTATTGGTAGTGGCACAAACAGGTACATGTTCTATCGTTCTTAAGTGAGATCGAAATATATTTACCTGAAATTTCTGTTTCTTAGGTGTTTATCTTTATGCATTATTCAGTATATTTGGCAGTTACTTTTCTAAATCGCACGAAGTACCCGATCGTATTGAAGGCATTGTGGCTGAAGTGTTCGATCTTCTCTCAACCTCTTTGCAGACTTTATTTATTTTACATGCAAGCCATCGTCGCTGCAAAGGATCAAAACAAATACGCCGCAAGCCGGGTCGCGAAATTATTACATTCTTACTGATTGCGAACATAGCCATATGGCTAATGAATACATTAATAAAGGGACGCGCCGTTTTCCGTGAAACTCATATGGACTTTTTTGGTATCTGGGCTTGGACTATTATAACGCACGTTTCAATGCCGTTGGCAATATTTTATAGATTCCATTCAACAATTTGCTTATTTGAAGTATGGAAGATAACCTACAAAGCCAAAGCGCATTAAGGAAAGTAATCAATAGACATTCCACACTATAATTAGAATAAAGTTAGAATCAGTTAGAAAAATTGCTGATATTATAAAATATAAATAAAATCAATATATAGCTTTATAAGACCAATATTTCGGGCTGTGTACACATTCATACATATATATATATATATATATATATATATATAAGCGATTTATAAGCTGTCGAAGAATTTACTAGAGTTCCCGAAGCTGGAGCCGGTGCTATACGTATATGTTTTGTTTTTGAATGCACCACATAATTGTCATCATTATGTGATGAACGTATGGTGGCCGATATGGAGACATTTGTTCCTGGGGATGGCTTATGTATTTGCGATATTAAATTATAACCACCCGTCCGTGGTATAGGACGTTTATTGGCTCGATTCGGACTAGCTTGATGATAATTTTGTGTAGAGGATGTTGCCGGTTGAATTTGCTTACCATGGCCAGTAGTGGATGAGTTGTTCGAATTAATATTTGCCGTAGTTGAGGAAGCTGAAATACGATCCAATTCAGTCATTGCCTCTTGTATGGCTCTTTCAAGTTGTGAGTTCAATTTTCGGCTCCATGAGAGTCAGGTTGTGAATTATGACCGTGCTGTTGTTGTTGGTGGTGTTGTTGTTGTTGCTGCTGCTGTTGCTGCTGTTGCTGCTGTTGTATAAATCCCAAGTTGGTTATACCTTGTGTTTGGGTGACATTGCCACCTATCAACTGATATTGCGGTGGTGTTTGCACGCGACGAATTTTCACATCCGTTGGTTTGTAAATATTTGCGTTTTGATATGCGGTCGATATAACAACGCCTCTCTCGCAATCCGTAGTCGACGGAGATTGGCGACTATCAGAACTTTGCGGTGAAACAGCTCCACCATCTGGCTCTGAGCTGGATACACATTGAACCATGTCACTTATTTCTTTTTGGTATAGAGTAAGTATCGATCAGATCAATGAGATATTTATTTATTTACTGGCTACAATTACACATTGTAGACATATATGCGTAAAGAGGTGAACAGAGAAATAGATGTATGTTGTTTTATGCCGGTGAGAAATATTCATTTCCAGTTTCTTCCTATTATACTCTATACATGTATCATTTATTTCCATATTTTAAAATGGTTTTAGAGTTATGTTATGTATAAACAAGAACTTGAAAGAAGTTCAGTTCAAAAATATCGCATTGTTCCTGGCGGACAGTAAAATAGATTTATATATAAAAACTTAAAAATAACACAATATTTTGCACTTAAAAATAATCATTTTTGTAGAAATCCCAGTAATCCCAGACAATCAACAGCCGGTATAACCACCATCGTTTTTACAAACAACTTCGATGTTTGTAAGCACGGATGAAATTAGTTACCGCAGCGCGGTACTACTACTGGAATATTATACCATACCTTTTGAATATTTTTCCACAATTTTTTCTATTGATACAGGAAACATGGTGATTTAGGTGTCCCCAAACATTCTCAACAGGATTACTTATTATTAGGCCGAAAGAATGACTTGGCCATTCAATGACATCCAAGATATAACCGATAAACCGCGCTTTCATCAAAGCGAATTAATGCTTCGGGTCATTACTCTGCTAAAATTACCATAGCAGTGGCATATTTTCTTCGGCGTACAGTAGCATTGTAATGTAAAACAAGTTTTTTATATACAAATCTATCTATAGTGGTTTTTAAGATGTATCAGAATGACGCCCTCTCAAGAAAAGCAAGCCCATATCATAAGATTCCTTTCGTCATGCTTCACTTCTTTTTAGTAAATGTTATACGGAGTTTTTGTTCTTTTGACCGACGGACATCTTCTTTCTGCATCATTATCAGACAAATTTACTTTTTGGTTCATCACTCCGAAATATATTTCTCCATTTTTTTCCACCATCTGATCTATATCAATTTTTATGGGCTTATGGGCCGCCTTTCCAAATTCCCTTTCCTAAGCAAAGGACCTTTCCGAAGTGGTCTTTCTAGTAGATGGGCCCCTAATAATGGTCAACAAATAGTTCGGGCTAATACTACATTCCCCATTTCATTGAAAATTGCTCTAAACGACTTGAAGGGATCTCGCTCCACGATTATCGGAAGCAGAAAAAAATTTTTTTAACTGCTCCGTACCTTCCAATATATTTTAAGGAGTTTAAAGCACTCATGACAAAGTTTTGTGACCAACCTAGTAACGCGGTAATAAATTTTTACGTTTTTCCCCGATTTCGAGGCTGGTGAAAGACGATCTACGTTTACAATCCAACTTTACAGGAAAATATTACAAAACACTGTACTTTTCACATTTTAAAGCTACTAAAGCAATATAAAAGCCCTCAACTTTTTGCTATGAGAGATGGGCTTAAGAGAGATTATCGGAAATAATTTTGAACATGTTACGACACGAAAAAATGTTACGTGGGCTTTGTGGAAGCTAACTTTACAATTTCTGTGGTATAGAACTGAAATATACACTTCGCCCTTATTTCCTGTAGATCTGTGCACAAGTTAAGGTTAAAGTTAAATTAAGGTTAAATGACTGATTTCTAGAGAGTCATTTTTCAAAAGCACCGCAAAGTTAATTGTTCCATTTACAAAGTAAACAATTTGTTAGCATATTTTTCGGCTTAAAGTATTAATATCTGATATTAAGTCTAAATATTAAACTATGACATCAATCAGAAAAGCAGACACGTAGGGTAAAGTAAATAGTATATAATATCGTCGATCAAAAAAACAAGCAGCAAAGGTAATATGAACAGCATACAATACCTTAGGCTTAAAGTGTTCAAAACCCACGGAAGTTCTAATAACTAAATATAATGTACTGCTACTTGCAATGTCTTCTGCACTGAGGTTCGAATCTATGACCACTGTGACAGAACAGGGAGTCCGCAAAATATTAATTGAAAACAAAAATGCTATAGTCGAGTAACACCGACCATGGCCGATATCCTACACCATCGCAGCTAATGCGGTCGTTCACAAATTTTTTTAATAACACACTAAAAATAATACATTATTTTTACGTAAACGCATAATCTTCTTGAAAGGCACCCCATATTGGAAAATAATTGGACGTCAACCTGGTCAAAATCTTGCAAATCTCATTTTTTTGTCAAAGATTTTGTTATTTTTCAGTTGCTTTCGTCATAAAAAACCACAAGTTGCCATAGAAATGTTTGCTTTCATGAGAAGGTGGTCAAGAAAATAGACCTATCTGATCCAAATTCCGTGCAATTAATTTACAACAGACCAATTTCCGTCACATAATATTAAAAGTTAGACCTTATTTTTTGTTAAAACCGTTAAATTTGTTGGGATCCAAAAAATAAATCTACGTGGCCCAAATACGATAATATTAATTTTTATCTCAAAGTAGTATTACGAACGAATTTTCAATAAGGAATATTGCAAATTAAGCCCCTTTATCATATAGGGATTCTAGCGTCGTAAGAACGTTTATATTACTGGGGCTTTGAAAAACTGGCCCATGCCATCCAACATTTTCACACTAATTTGAAATGCGAAAATCGTTTTACCAAGCAACTTTTCTCTTAAAATTTTGAAAATTACAACTATTTTCTATGTAACGATTCGTTAAAATAGGGCGTTCTATAAACGGTTTTCGAAAAAGTGGATCATTCCGAACCATTTCCAATATGGCACGTTATGCCAAATTCCGTTAGCGTACCAAATTTCATTAAAATATTTTAAGTATTATAACCTGTAGTTGGAAGGAAAGAAAGGATGGGTGGATTTTATAAAAAAAGAAAACCAAAAAGAACAATTTTCTATGAAGCAATTATTTGGTATATGATATATTTCGAGAACGTATTGATTGTGTCAGATGTAGATAGGGCACGCTTGTTGCCAGTGAATACAACAGCATTTTTCTGATGCTTTGTAGTCGCCGTCTTTACGACGTATCAAATAGCAAGTGGTTCCACAAAGATGTAAAACCGGTTTTTCGGTCTCTCATATCTCGGAAAATAGCTAACTCGTGCATCCGTTTCATACAGCCTTTAATCCTCTTAAAGCCGCACTTAAGAGTAGACTTTAAAAGAATAAAGTCAGTAGTTCTGTACTCAGATAGACGGTGAGGACTTGTAGACCTAGTCGTTACAAAGGTTACTGATAATTCTCCAGTGATCCTGAATCACTATATTCTTTTTCTGCTTTTCCAAGTCAACTAATCAACAAGAAAACAAATCTGTATTTCCTATTTGACCGATTTCCAACTACCGAGAAACTGAAAAGTGTTACTAGCTAAACTTTCCCTGACTGTGTCATGTATATCGAAATAGTTGCTATTCTATTAAGAATTAGAAATTTTCCTGGCAAAGAGATCTTGTAGAGGACTTGTCAATATTTCTTTTCAAGATAGATATTGGCAACAGAGAGCTTAAGATGATTTGACACTTTCTATGATTAAAATTCCATACCGAAATGTGCTTAGTTGTCGCGGAGAAAACTAATCAAATTTTCGCTTATTCGCAAAAGGAACAAGATAAAAAATAGTGGATTTTTTTTCAATTATATAGCCCTTCTACTCTGTGTACGCAAGAAAAAGACAACACAAAGTAACATGGATTTGATGACAGTCGTTGATTTTAAAATTAAAGTGAATTCAGTCACACAAAACAAGAGTAAAGAGTAATTGTTATTAAAGTGACGTACACGCAACTATTCTTTCTTTACACGGTCCGTTTTTAACCGATTTTGAAATATTACAATTTACTAATAAGAACAAGTAAACTTTTACACGAATTTTTTGTTCTAAGACGAATTTCAAAAAAAAAAAATCTTTTCTCTCCTTCTTCATTTGAATTAAGCCCAACGTTGGTATTTTTGGTCGAATCCATAGGAAAGGTGCACGCTTGTTATATGTAGCAGCGATGAATAGTTGCGAATTTGACTTTGTATTTTTAACCTTAATTTAACTTTTTTATATGTTACACTTATGGACTCACTTTTCGATGTACACTAATTTTAATTAATTCCTTTTTTT